AGGAGGTTTTAGAGATTACACAAATGAATTTGAGATTTTTGAGATGAAGAAAAGTACTTTTAATCTTAACATGAAAATCACTTTGCACTCAGACTAGTAAAAAAATGACTCAATATATTCTGATATATTCATGAACAAATCTTTATTAAAAATACTTCACTAAGAAATCTGATTTTTTGTAAAAAGACTTATGTTTACTAAAAGTCTGCCCAATTTTGTGAAGATACACACATTATATTAATAGATAGTAGTATCAAAACTATAACTAGTACAAAGTGGTCATATGGTCAGTTAAATAACTGAGCCTGTGTAAAGGGAGTTAACTGCAAGCATAAGAGCACTTAAAGAAGTTCAGTATAAACTTTGAACACTTTTATATGATAATTAAATCCTACTTTCAAACTGCATTTGCTGCAATATGAATACTTGTGCACATTTTTAACTGCTGTGCCACCTATCCAAAAAGTTGAGTTGTATCTTCAAATTTCATAGTAATCATTCAAATTATTCTGGAGATATACTACTTTCATTTAATGCATTTGTTTTATAAATTCCTTTTGGTTTTTAAATAAGTATATAATATAGACAAGTCAATATTATATTTATAGCTACCAGTTCATGACAAAACTCAATAGGTGTATCACAGCCTTGAAATAATGGGCACTTACAGCGAGTTTAAGAAGTCTTTCCAACATTAGGGATAAGTTCATTTCCTAAAAAAAGAAAAAAAGAAAAATTATATAAATTTTCATATAAATCATAAGTATATTTTCAAGTATCTTATTGTCAAATTAAAAATACATATTACCTGGTGTGAGCACAGAATGCATTAGACATTAACCTCAAAGTTCAAAATGTGTAATATTAAATTATTTTTCAGCCTATTCTTAAAAAATATAAACTTAGTTTTCTCTGGTAAAAATATTTCTTACTAAAAACAAGATATGGAAGCCTATTAATTTTAGTACTTATAAAGACTGACAAAGTATGAATATTTATGTTTTAATCAAATGCATATTCAAAACCATTAGTTACTACAAGTTGTTATAATGCCCTGAACATATTTCAGATTAGTACATTTTAAGTCCTTGAATAAATGAGCAAATTACTTACTTTTAAGGGTTGTAAGGTGTTTCTGATGATTGGGACAATCCACTGCTGTACCAACCCTAGTATTAGTTGAAGCAAGAAAATCTGTAGGAGAAAACAAAAAGTAAATACAACTGATGTATATGTCCTTGGAACAATTACTCATAAAAAATTACAACTTAAAAAAATGGATCCAACTAACAGAGTAATAGAAAGTTGAAATCTTTAAACTATCAAAAATCAGAAACAGCTTAAAGCCATGGGTACAAAGCTGAGAGAGGTATCAAATATTAGAAAGAACTGTTTTTAAAATTAACACGTTTTTATCGGTTGTACATAGTAAAACTTTTGTTTATTTTATCCACAATGTTTCACCAGGTTTACTTGGCATCATCAGGTGGCATACAAGAACTGGGACTAACAGAATTTAATTTAAAAAAGGATCACATAAGAACCTATAACAATAGTATCCTACAAGCATATAAATGATCAATTGCAAATAATAACATAAGTTATTCAAGAACTGTCAAATTTATATATACTAAATAAAAATTTGAGGCTTGAGTCTAAGTACTGAAATACATTCTATGTTTGTTTTTTTTATTAATAGGGCTTCTTATATTTTTCATCTATTAATGTTGTCCTCTCTGTGAAGATTTTTACTTGGAAAGAATCAAAATAATGGTTTTTTCATAGACACGTGTTCAAAAACATGAGATGGAGATTTTAAATGTTCCTGCAAAAGAGTAGAAAGTTGTCCATTTGTCTCACCAATATAACAGCTTTTGCAATCTGTACATTCATTTGTATACACATTTCCTAAAGTATCATTATGCCAGTTATCCACTGATGAAAGAGGTTTCAACTATGCTATTGCATTTCCTAAAGTATCATTATGCCAGTTATCCACTGATGAAAGAGGTTTCAACTATGCTATTGCACCCAGAACTCTCCTTACACTTGAATTCCAGACAGGATTAGAAAACTTTGGTAGAAAAATAGCTAATCAGGAACACTTTAGTTCCTCAAAAAAAACACCTTTCTCATGTGGATTCAAATTCTTCCAACATCATTCATGAAAGTACAAATAATCAAGATCATTCGTCAAATAATCAAAGCATTCTCTGCCAAAACCTACAGTTACCCATTCTGTCTTTTCCCAAAATTAAAAAAAATAGTCATATTTTACCTGTTCTTCATGCTTTTTGTTCACATATCTCACATTTTTTTGGACAAACCTAGACTGCTAAAATCAAACCTTTCTCCAAAATAACATAAAGCACTAATACTCTTAAAAAGTTATGAAAGCATATTTTACTGAAATCTGACAACAAAGGTAATGCTGTTGTTATCATGGATCAGATAGTATACAAGTGAAAGATGCGCACACACACTCCTTGATGATTCATCTCATTTGTAAAATATGGTAACTAACATAACCTTTTCCAAAGAAAAGGAATTAAAACAATTTCTTGTACAGTTACAAAGAACTTCTCAAATTTCTACTGGTATATATCAATTTCTTCGATCCTCAGATTCCCAGACTTCTTAAAATTTATAGTCTCCCCAAAACTCACTGTTGGATAGACAAGATTGTTTAGTGTATTATTATTTAGATTATTTTGTGAATTAATATCTAATGATCATTTAATTTTCATGACAGCAGTGTGGAAGACTGATTGTTTTAAAAGTGTTAGTTGTGACAAATATTTGTTACATAACTCTGTACGAGTCATATGTTGTGTTTGCAATTAAATTGTTGTCTAGGCTTTACTAATATTGTTGATGTCACATTACTCAAATATTTGGTATTTTCCTCATTACCTTAAGTGAGTATTGTTACATTTATAGTGTTGTGCATGCTCAATTAACAAGGTATATATATATGACTGGCAAGTGCAGGTTAAGTAGAAAAAAGTGAAGTGAAAGTAAAGTTCAGTCAGAAAAAAAAAGTTAGAAAACATGAAGTTAGCTGCCGTGTGAGTGAATAGCCAATAGTCAAAGGGTGTTCTAAAGTAATTGAACCCATCTGTGTGGACTTTGAGGAAAAGGAGAGAGACAATTATTTAAAGTTTGAGACATAACTGTGGTAGCCCACAGAGTAACACAAGTGAATCTAATGCAGATTGTACAGTAAGAAACAAAGTAGAGAAAAATAGTTTGTCTTGTCAATTGGATTCTAAAGTAATTGAATCAACCTGAGTAGACTTTTCACAAGAAACGAGAATTATTTAAAGTTTTAGATACTGTGATATCCTATAGTGTAAAGAATTTTGCACATACATTTGACTTGTTTTGAATATATCATTTTAAAACATGTGGATTGTGTGCTGTCCATTTATTGTTCAAATTATCACCAACAAATCAGACACCTATTGTAAATGAATCCCTGCCCACACATAGAAACCCTGAAACTCACAAACCTAATTTTCCCTTATGTCCTATTGTTTCAGCATACAAAAGCTTACAATTACTATCTAAGAAAATTCTTTGCTTGGATGTTTTCATGTTTCTCATGCTTCCTCCTTCATAAAAATTCTGCAATATTTAAATATATGTGAATTCAGTCACTTTGTTCAATAAATCAAATTTAATATAAAAAAACCTGTTCACTAAAGTCCCAGTCCTTGAAACAATAAATGCTGCTCTGGATTGTTACCAAAATGATTCAAATCCTCGTTTTTGCCTAATCATCAATATTATAAAAAAATTGATTCTCCTTGCTGCAAAATTTCCCATTTTTAGTTTGAAGGTGTGAATTATAAACAAATTGATGGCCTATGTATGGGAAATCCTGTAGCTCCAGTACTTGCCAATATAATTATTATAAGAATTGAAGACATTGCCATCTCAAATTCACTTTATAAAGCATTTTTTTAGTTTTAATATGTTGGCATTTTTTCAGCTTTGGATAATCTTAATGTTATTCATGAGTATTTTCTCATTTAAACCAGATACACCCAAACATAAAATTCATGATGAGAAAAGAAGTTGATGACAAATTGTCACATCTAAATGTTTGTTAAAAAGACAAACACAGGTTTCCAAACCTCCGTATTTCGTAAGAACATTCACACTGGACTTTATGTTCCTTGGAATTTCCTTCGTAACAAATGCCAAAAAGCTAAGTATATGAAAATGTGCTATCTGTACAAATAAAATTCTAAGTTCCAACATCGACTGTTTCAAAAATGAAAACCTTTGATTTCAGCTTTTTGTACAAAACAATTTCCTTCCCACTGTTGTTAATAAAGTAATTACTTCTTTTGAAAATTGACACAGAAAATGATTCTTCTGCAGATATCCCTGTCACTTATTTTACCAATCATCCAAAACTTATCTCGTGTTATCAAAAAATCTGGTTATAAAAACAGTCAGAGAGTATAAAATTAGTATACAATTTACATTTTCACCTGAAAAAATAGCAAGGTCAACTGCTATCCAAAAGGTATATGGATAATGATACTTTAGGAAATGTGTATACAATTGAATGTACGGATTGCAAAAGCTGTTATATTGGTGACACAAACAGACAATTTTCTATTAATTTGTGGAAACATTTAAAATCTTCATCTCATGTTTTTGAACACATCTGGGAAAAATCATTCTTTTAAATCTTCTTAGGTTAAAATCCTCAGCAGAGAAGACAACATTAACAGACAAAAAATTAAAGAAGCCCTATTAATAAAAAATATATAACTCTAATCTTAACAAATACAAAGGTGTTAATTTATATCTATTTTAATTCCCTTCTCTCTTGTATGTAGAACAAATTTCAATACTTAGACTCAGGTCTATTATACCCAAGTTTGACAGTTCACTGATAAATTACTTTATTGTTTGCCGTTGGTCAGTTGAATGCTTCTCGATTACTATTGTTAGATATTCTCACGTGATTCATTTTTAAATTAAATTCTGTTAACCTCAGTTCTTGTATGGCACCTGATGATGCCAGATAAACCTGGTGACACGTTGTGAATAAAATAAACAAAAGTTTTACTATGTACAACCAATAAAAACTTGTATGAATGAGAAAGGTATTGTTTATTTGAGGCATTATGGGATATGTTTTGATATGATCCCTTGCAGTTTGAAGCATTTTGTGTGGTTAGTGTCAAATTCATAGGTCAATTACTGGTGAATAGGGGTCATTGGATAACTTCTTAATCAGTTAATCACTTTAAAAGGATTGCACCTGTAGCTTTAGAATACAAGGAACCAAAACTTAATCATTTCTAATTTGTATCAAAATAATTCCCCATGAACCTGACTCTTTGATGATGCTAACTTCAGTAACTCTTCTTGCCACATCTTTCCACCAAACATGAGCTCATCACAACTTGTGGTTAGGAAAGTTTAATCCAACACATTGGGCATTTTATATAATTTTTAACAGAATAAACTGCATAAAAGAAAGGTTTACATCCAGTTCTGAGTTTTCATATAAATTAATTCCACGACTAGGTTATCATTTATGCAACTTCCTTTTTATGATGTAATCACGCATAGGAAAAATGACCACAACTTTTGAGCAAAGCTTCAAAAATACTGATATACCAGCCTTAACTGAACATATAAAAATAACTAGATGCACAAATAGTGTGTCATATCAAGTTAAACATCTTAAACTATACTGTCTGATACAAGTTACACAATTTCAATGGAGATTCATGCCAGTTTCTCTTGAATCTTTTAATCTCACATCTCTTTAAATCCTGCTGATCAAATGTAGGAAAACATAAAAGGTGCTCAAATGAAGTAAAAAACTATAAAATAATCAGTGAAGATGAGGAGAAAAATTGTTTTCTTTCCAGTAATGTAAATCTGGAAGATATATGCAAAGTCAATAAATAGTAAAAACAAAATTATGACTGGACATGTACATATTTTATTCCACATATCTGAGTTTAGATACATAAAATGCATTCAACGTTTTTATTTAAAACAAAACATGTCTTACCTCATGTTTCTTCATTACACATATTCTACATTTTGTAAAAAACATAACTCGTTGCTTACATCTTAATTTCATTGTTATGAAAAAAAAAGCAATGATACTGATACATGCATCTTCAATGCTTGATATATGATTCATAAGAGTTTAAATAATGACATTAAGTGTCAAATGTATCTGTAATCAAGAAAAACTTACCATTTCTACTATTCTTTTCAAGAGGAATCTTTTCCTGATACCAGCTGAACGAGGAAAGTTCAGCTCGTAGCACAATGTGGGAGCACACATAAAGTAATAAATATCTGAAGATAAAAAAAGATATTTTCATTATTCAGAACAAAAATGTACAGATGAAATTGACATAAGAGAGTAGGAATGTAAGGTCGAGACCTGCAATGATTGAAAAGAGAAGGGTAATTACTAAAACACTGTGACAAAGAGATTAGTATTTACTAATCCTGATGAACAGTGTTTTCTTAAGAACATTTCTATTAACTTCCATGTACTTATTTCAGGTATCTGTTAGAAGCTCTTAAAAATTAGTTACAATCATCAATAATGAGTTACAAGTCTAGCATATTCATAAACACAGTTTTCTGTCCTGTTTTATATCCCAATAGTTGGAAGTACCACTCCTTCCATATGTCTATCTATACCAGATCACGTTAAAAACATCACATTAATCACTGTACATAACACTGTCATGTATTACAAACAGTATGTGACTTTACCTGCCAAGATCTTGTATATTTTTGGAAGACAAGTTTATTTACTTATTAAAAAGCATGGTTTTAAAAACCTTGTAAAGTAAAGCATACTGAGAGGGGACATTTGAAGTCATTTGTTTTGAACTGCAACAGAAAATTAATTCAAGAACAGCTAAGTGATAATGTACAACTATTTGTATCACATTAAAAGAAGCACAGCTTTTTTTTATTTACAAATAAACAAAGAAGTATTCAAAAAAATTTCTTATAAATCTGCTTTCTATAGTTGTTTGTCTGTATATGTACTTTCTATACTGACATAATTAGTTTGTAAAATTCACATGGGTTTTCTAGCTTATAAAACCTGTCTCATCAGAATTAATAAAGATACCTTAACTTGGAAAATAAGCATTGTTTAATAAACCTTAGTATTTGTTAACTTCAAAACAATGTTTACTAATTACCAGTTGTTCAAGTCTAATGAAACAATAGTTTGTACTAAAAGTATAAGCAGAACTGAAAATGTTGACTTCAGGCCTCAGTTTAATTATCAGCAAACTCTTTATTTGGAGGCTCTGTTCATCACTGGCCCCAGGCCAAAATCATAAACAAGTTAGAATGGACAGGTATGTCACATTCACCTAGGGCATGTATGAGTATATTGGATTTAACTGCTGATCTTAAATTAGCACATTCAATTATATGTATTAATACTTTTCTTTTTGAAGAACCAATATAACCCTACTAATAGGAGGAATAAGTAAATTTATAAACAAGAAAAGAAGATTACAAAGATGGGATTTGGTCTTTAAATCTAAAAAAAAGAACTAATGTTATAATTAGGTTTAAAAATGCATCTCAGCTGTATCTGGGGGTATACCCTATGGATAACATTTTTCAGCTTATTCTTAATAATTAAAGAATTTATACAATATACTAATTCTGATAAGGTATATTTAAAATATAAGCTATCCTTCTAAACACTTGAATTTGCATAAACATGAAACAAAAAGCACAAAGGCAATAGAAATTAACAAAACACAAACTGCTTTGAAACTTGATGAGCACGTAGTAATTTCTTTTTGAATTTATAAAATGAGAGAAACAGTAAGCTTTTGGTTAACAGTATACAATACTTAAAACGTTGCACTGCAGAAAATAAAAATATTTAAAAATTATATCATAGAGTTATGATTTTTTAATAAATATTTTATACTGGTATTCAGAAATTAAATTGCTTGTGTGAAATGTTTTTTGATTAAATCAATTTTGCAGACAACTCTACAGTGGGAATAAGGCAGATATTCATTTCTCTTGATGGATGCAATTAACCTCTATTACTTGTTTGTTTCAGATATTTGTGGAAAGCTACACAAGAGCTATCTGTGCTAGTCATTACTAATTTTGAACTGATACACAAAAATGAAGGTATCTAGTGCCAACTCTAGTTTCAGGCTAATTATTAATGTATGTTTTTTTGCTTCAAAGTTTTGAAAATAATAATAATTAACACTGTATTTATACCAGTTGTTGAAGTTTGCAGTATAGGCTGAAGAACTGAAAGCATGTTTGAAAAGTATAGTTGTTTCAACTCCACAAACATCTTCTGGAGATGAAGTAATCAAAAATTTTAACTATTTAATATTTCTATATTCCACTTTTATGTCCTACTACATTATAAAACAATTTACTCCTAGAAATGAATACTTTGTGAACTTTTAAAAAATGAAATTTAAGATCCTACCTCTGATATTAAGATTTTGTGGATATCTGACCAGTGGCAGCCCATTTAATCCACCTCCAGTTGTTGACACTTTATATAAAATAATTTTAACAGAAATTTTAATATGATATACAAATATATATATATAGGCATAAGCTCTTATCTTATTTTGTGAACTTTGGAAAAAACATTTTAATACATAAAAGCTGAAATGGAACTGTCTGACAAAGAAATTTGAAACATAATTTATCTAAGTTTGTATGCTGAATATAAAGTAATATTAGTGTTGTATGCAGATAATAAATAATCCTATTTTTTCTATAACAGTGTTTAAATCAACACTTGTTACAATATACTTAATAATAGCACTATCTATAAAAGTCTGAATTATAAGTAAACCATATTAATATAAAAATATTTTTTTCTAGTTTCAGTAACTGTTTCAGTTAAGTGGGAACTTAACAGGCCTAATATTTGTGCTAAAAATCAAGCAACAATGCATGTTTTTGTTTTTCACATTCTTCTTAATTTTGGCATTGTGTTGCATATCCATATACATATGTAAATTGTATTTCAGATATATATATATGCCCGTTATCATCCAGCCCAACAGAAATGTAATAAAAAAAAGTTTCCAGGGCAAAATAAGGTTTAAAATGCTGTTTTTTCACATAATCTAGACAAATTAAGAAGATGAAAAAAAAAGATATCCAAGTCTAATAAGATTTTTATTATATGTATCTATCTAAAACAAATTTACCTGTTATAACAATATCAATTGCATATTATATAACTGTTGTCTAAAATTTAGCCTAAAAATTACATTTTACCATTGCAAATATCTTAACAAAAACACATATAAAACTGTACTATGAAGAATTTTTTTTACTAGACAATTTAGTAATAAACTAGTAAATAAATTATGTTACAATCTCCAATGCATGTTACTTTTACAATTCATAGAAAAGACATTTCATTGGACCAAAACCCCATCCCATCTTTTGGCATCATTGTTCACTGAAAGAAACAGCAAGTTTCTACCAGCTAACTATGTAAAAATATTCAAAGAACCTCTACATACCGGTTAAGCCAAATGAGCTACGGCGTTTGTGACGACTTGTATCTGGTTGATTCCTGCTTTCTCTACACCAAAAGTTTACCATATGATAGGAGACAAGTTTTAAAAACGTGATGCTCACAGAACCAAGAGCAACTGATGCTCCAACTGAAAAATAAATATATACACCAGTAAACATTAAACAAGCTAAAAACTGTTTAAAGATATTCCCTTTTACCTTTAGAAAGACTGACATCACTAATGTTACAGTATTTGGTGTCCAATATTATTACTCACCAACTAACCAAGAAATTTTTATAAGCAATAAATAAAAACTGATATGCTGAAAATTTCTATTGTATTTTTTTTTTAATCACAGGTAGATGCCTTACTATAGCAAAGGTCTAGATGAAATGCAGTTTTATTTCTACCAATTAATTTCTCAGTTATTTACAAAACTACTTTTTTTTTAAGAGAAAAAGGTGATGATAAAGAGTTTGGCCATCTTTTGTTCTGGGTTACTTTTCTTACTTTGAACAGTTTCAGAGAATATCACCTCCCAACTGTAATCCTGGCTTAAGCCAAAACTAAAGAAATAAAGATCAAGTCCTATTTAAATCAGTATCAAACTCGTTAGCATCTTTAAAAAAAATACTAAATTATAAAACCGTGTTGTTTGGTCAATTATTAAAACAACATTATTGTGGTTTCTCTTCAACAAGAATGAGAAATCCCTTATAAAATTACAAAATGTGCACATGAGGTTGCACAATTAATTGTGAACTTTCATTTGGAAACAATCCAGGCTTTTATAACTTTGTGAGATGACAATAATAATTTTAACAACTTAGTTATACCTTGATATAATTTGCTATTGTACATGCAAGTTAATTTACAACTGCATCAACTTTAGATAATTCAAGTAAGTTTTAGTATAATACTTAAGATAATGGAAATTACAGTATATTTACTATAAACCATGCTTGTCTTTTATAGAATTATCTTTACATTTATTTGTAAGTACAAAATTAATCTGTGGTTATTTTTATAACGTCAAACAGAACAATATATTATTTCAACTTTCTGACACGTACTTGGGTTGCTATTTGTTGTGAAGACCATAATAACAGGAAAGATGATTAAAATGGAAAGACTGATAACTATCATTAGCCTACCACACATTTCATGAAGCTTGCCCTAAATAAAATAAGAAAAAACAAAAAATTATTTTACTTTTAACAGTTGAAAACACTACTAAAATCATATTTAGTTCACTAATAGGGTAGGGAGCATAATATCATTGTCATTCACACAACCAGGACATGGAGGTTGACAGGAGGTATATTACCAGAGGACTCCAAAGAACCAGTTCAATATATGATATTAGGTAAATGCATCCAAATGAATAAGGAATGAAAAAGAAGTGTTTGCTATTTCAATATGTTAATTATAAACATTTTTCTTTTTTTTTTTTTCAGTCACCAAAGCTTATATTTTATTGAGTGTGAAATATGAAGGGAAAAATAATATAAACCTCAGGAATGTTTTCCTCACACTACCACAAGTAATCATTATTCCTCCAAAAATATGCATAATCAGAATACTGAGTAGATGCATTTCCTTTTGTCATTTGAGTATACTTTAAACATAATTAGTTTGCTTGGTACATGGCATGTTTTCGTCATTTATATACTTCAAAGTAGTTGAAATCAATAACCTGCTTGATGAAATTCTGATTAACTTATCTACTGAATTATTTCTGTTTATCTTCCTCAATGGATCAAAACATCATCTAATTGCCAGTTCACATGACAGATTGTCCATTACAACAACTAGTTTCTTTCAGTTTTCTATATTTATTTATTTTTTGTTCATTTTAAGAAATATAAAAATTACAGAAACCTTTTCTTAATTCTATTTGTTTGTTTCAGGATTTTGTGCAAAACTAAACAAAAGACTATCTGTGCAAGTCTTCCCTTATCCTGAACTGATTTGACTACACAAAATGCAGCTAACCAACATTTAATTAGACCAGAGTAGCCCAAGAGTTGGTGGTTGGTGATGTTGGTTAGCTGTCCTTTCCAGGATAAGGGAAGGCTTGCACAGATAGTCTTTTGACCATCCCTCTCATGGCACACCTATGGCTCCAAAGTGCAAAGTGTTTTTTCAGCAATGAATCACAAACCATGAACCCCAAGATTAACAGTACGAGCACTCTTACCACTAAGCCAACTCTGGCCTTTTTAATTCAATCATTAGAAGAGAAAGTACAGTTTAATGTTAAGTAACTTAGTAGTCATTGGACTTTCACAAGATTTTATTCATATGATAAGATAATGAGATTTAACTCACACAAAAAATAGTATTTTTTGAATTGTAAAGAAAATAAAACATTTACTTTTTTTTGGTACAATATTTTCTGACAAAGTAACATGTCAAACACAATGATCAAGCAAGGTTATAATTTTCCACATTCAAGCTTATACTTTTTTTGTTATATTATCATTGTAATATAAAGATTATTAGTAATAGGTACATGTTCTGTGTCCGTGTACCTTTACCTCCTAGCTCTTACAAAGTAAGGTGTTATCTTACTATAAAGGCCATCAACTGGATCTATTTACTTGTCTATGTATTTGTCTATTTACCAAACTATAAATTATACTTTTGATGTAAATATAGTAATTACAATGCTGAATGAAGTAGCCTTTAAAATTAATATTTAGTGATCATTTCTGAAGGAACACAAAAAAATTATGTGAAGCATAAAGACTATTTAAATGACTGCAATAATATTTGTTCTTAATGAAAATGCATGAAAATTATTCCTTACTGCAAATTAATAACATATTACTGCACGTGGGTGTAAACAGTGATGTAAAAAAAAAACAATTACAAGACCTTCCAGGACCAAACTGTCATTTTTCAATGAGCTAATTTACTGATTTTAACAAGTGAACTCCACCAAAAGTAAGTATTTAATGTTTTATTAACATACAATAACACATACAGTGAAAATATTTCTTCCCTTAATTTTGCATACTTTCCATTGCATACAATAAATATTCTGTGGGTGTTCTAGCAGCCAATAAGAATAAGTGATGATATCCAGCCTCACTAGATTGAATTTGCAGAGTGATAAAAAAAACTTATTCATGAAAAAAAGAAAAAAAAACAAGTTATTAAAAAAATCCGTATCATGCATGGTAGTTACTCTCATTCAATTACATTGATGCTTTTTGGATTTGCTTTTCTCTCTTTTTGTTAACAAATGTTTGGCAATAATTGATGAAGAAATTAGACAAAAATTTAATTATTTTTGAAGAGTCTATGAAGACGAAATTAACAAAATGCTGAAATGCTTACATTCTTTATCCTATCAACAAAAATGTATGATTTTAGACTTCTCCCAAATGGATCTTGAGCTTATTGTATGCTATAATATCATTCCAATAACAGTCACATGACACCTGTTTGGTTACAGACAGAGGTACATAGTTCATAACTTGTTACTAATCGGTACTGTCAAGTCAGCATATTTCTCAATTTACAAGTCACATTTTCTCAAGATCATTTTTCAAGAAACTAAGATAAACACAATGGTACAGCTTGTCACTTATAAAAATATGGGATTCGGGAGCAATGGAGTGACAGATAACAAATTTTCCAGGATTTCCTGATAATAACCATTCATTGTCCAAGATTTTCAGTACTGAAAAAATTGTTTACAAAATTACACAACTTTCCAGGATTTTCACAACCTGTGCAAACCCTATCAGTGAACAGTTTTCCACACTAAAAAAATATAGAACCGAATAAATAAATATAAGTATACACAATTTGTAGATTATACTTTTTGTTATATTAGAATTTTAATATGATTGTTATTAGTAACAGCTACATTGTATCTGTATACATGTACCTTCACCTTCAAACCCCTACAATGTAAGGTGCTATCTTACAACACCAGGCAATTGTATCTATCCACTTGTCTATGTACCTGTCTATTTATCTAACTATAAATTGTTACTTTGATGTAATTACAATAGATACAGCACTGAAAGAATATCCTTTTTCCTATATTTGTTATCAAAAATCTAATTTCTGAAAAATTTTCCTGTTCAGAAACAGTACTAGTTTGAACCACTGCAGTACCAGTTTAAAACCATTGTTATAAGCCTGACACTCCTGTCCACATGACAGGTATAATTTTCTAATACTAACTATTTTTATCATCTTCTACTTTAGTGAAAATAATTTTTTTTAATATTACTTTTTGGGAATTTGATCATATGTTATTCTCACACAATAAAAGTAATTAAAAAAGATATGCTCCAGAACACTTACATTGATTTATTTATATATCAAAAAACAGTTCTAACAAAGTAAGAAAGAATGAGAATTTTTAAGTAATTAATTTTAATAAACTAAAAGATTCAGTATTAAACCAGCTTAGAAATAGTATTGAATGATGTGGACATGAAGTTTGTAATCCAACAAGGAATCTGATAGGCAAGTTTAGATTATATACTTTGTGCACAGCAGTATATTTTACTTGTTTAACCAAACAAATAAAAATCATTTCTATTTTTTTACTTACCTTTGAATAGAGAATTTCAATGAAAAATGTGAAAAGAATAAATACATTAAGACCTGAAAAAAGTAAATAAATAAATATAAATATATATATATATACACACACACACACACATATATATATATACACAGTGTGTAGGTTATACTTTTGTTATATTATTATTATTGTAGTATAAAGATTATTAGTAAAAGCTACGTGTACCTTTGCCTTCTAGTTCTTACAAAGTAAGGTGTTATATTACTATAAAGGCTAACAACTGCATCTATTCACTTGTCTATGTATCTGTCTATTCACCTAACTATAAATTATAATTTTCATGTAAATAAAGTAATTACAGTGCTGAATCAAGTACCCTTTAAAATTAATATTTTCTTTACTTGAATATGTATTTCTGATAGATACTTACCTCTCTTCACTCAATAGCTATTCCTTGCACATCTGCCACTAATTTTGAACCATCTTCCAATTAAGATATGTATTTCAACATGAAATGCACTAGTGTATAATGCTATCATCATGTGACAATAGCTCTCCACTAATAAGTTTGAAACACATCCTCCTTGCTCAATGGAACCCCATGAGCATTTGCACTAGAAATGAACTATGTTCTCAGATGAGGCAAGAATAATGTGTATCAGGAGTGGGGAGTAAGGGTAGAAAGGTAAGTATCTTTAGAAATACTTATTCAGGTCAGGAAAATATTAAATTCTGAAATGATACACTTACCTCTCTGCACACAGTGGCTAGAATCACACAGTGATATAGTGGAAGAGCAGGTGGAATAACTAAAACTTAAATGAGCCTTCTTCTAACAAGGCAACAGAGGGGGAAAAGCCTATGGAGTGTGACACCATATAGTGGAGGCTTACTAGAGGGGCAACACTGTGAGATCTCATCCATCTCATGCAGGGTATAGTCTTTGCCCAGATGGAGGTATGAAAGGAGGAAGGTAAAATAAGCCCATGTGTTGCAGGGATGGGTGGAAAAATGCCTGACCAAATGAGCTTTTCCATACAACAGGTTGGATGGACAAGAGGTGTAGCATGGCTAGAGCAATAATCATACCATACCAAAACCATTGGGAAATTGGCATATTATATAATGCGGCATGACTAGCACTACACTGATATGGACACCCTGCCCGACTTCTCACTGCACTGTGCTGCCCACTCGGACTCGCACAACTGGTGAGGAACTTTCCAAGTCAAAACCAAACCAGTGGCTAGGAATGGGACTGATAAGGGTCTCCTGTGGTCTGCTCGAAGACTGAATTGGGGCGTGGGAGATATTTGCACTGGAGAGGTGCACAGGCCTAATCAGACCTAACCACTGCAAAGATCTTTTACTGAAGAAAGTGCAGTGGGTTAACATGACATCTAATTTGAAAAGCCAGGATATATTAGCCAGGGAACTGGGTAGTCACTCCCTTGGTGGTGGCTTTTTCCATGATAGTCCATGGAAGGTACAATGTGTAATGGACATTGAAATTTATACATACACACACATATATATATATATATATATATATATATATATATATACCATCATAATGGTCTTATATAAAAATCCCATCTCAACAGTGTGCAATTTTGGAACCAATGCAAATACGTTGAACACTTTCTGTTATCCTTGGCTTAATGCAGATTTAGAGAAATAAGTATACCCTGTTTAGGCAACAAAGGCTGTCCAGTGAGTTCTGAGAACTGAATGAGATTAACAGTATAAATGGGTAAGGATATAAGGGAAGTGCTCACCTGTAAAAGAAGGCAAGGAGACTGGAGTATGGTGACTGGAAGGAGGTGAAATCCAGATGGCAGCAAAATTTTCAGCCTAGAGAACCTAATCCAAGGGTAGTCAAAAGCATGAGACCAGAGAGTGAGCCAAATGGCAGATTTGATGTAATGAATACATGATACACCCTGTAAACAACTTCATCCAAGGAGGAACAGATGATCCAGATGAGTTGATGAATCCATACAATAAATGAAGAGGATGAGAGATTTCTGAAAGACAAAGGGTCCCACATCATGAATAAATGATTGCCAGAACCCCGTAAATGAGGCGTGCATGATAAGTAACACCTAACCTGGATAGTCCAGTGGAGAAAACCACGCCACCTATGTTGATAAACAGAGTAAAATGGTAACATAAATGGGATAAAATAAGAGCTATAAGGTTGGGAAAACCTGGCCAGCAAGCAAGGAACTGGGCAAATCCCATGCTTGAAGACAAAGAGATGACACTCCTTTGTGCTTCCAACAGGACCTGAAAAGGAGTGTTATGAATCAACAACAAAACATGTGGGAAAAGGTGAAGAGGAAGGTACACATACAGAAAGAAATAAGGACATCACAGCCAGAGAATCTGGGTCAGAAACCAGAAGGAGGTAAGTTAGGTATTGAGAGGAGTGGCAAAGGTACTGATCATTAGTATGCCCAACTGCAAACAGATCGAACAAAAGACTTGAGGATGAAGTGACTATTCCATAGGAAGAATCCTGTCTGGTCAAGAGAGTAAATCCATCACCAAGTTCAAAGCCCCCACAACATAACAGGCTGTTAGCCGAACCCAATGTAAATGAGCCAGAAATACAGAGACCAATGTGCAGAAGTAAGGGTTCCTAAAGTGAGTACCACCCTGTAAATTTATATGGGAATCAACTGTAGCATTGTTGGAGTGGATAATATCCAAGATATCCACAAAACATGGGAGGAAATAGGAATACAACTGATGGGCTGCCAATAGTATCAGTACATTGATGGTGAAGGCTGTATAGTAGTCCAGAGACACATCCCACCCATAAGAGATGTATTGGTGAAGAGATGGAAATTCAGACTTTGAGGGGAGATAGCAGTGGGATGCCAACTGTAGTGTTGGCATGACCCAGCCACAAAGACAGATATTCAGGAAGAGAGGGCAGTACCATCACAGGATTGTACAGAGGATCATGAGAGATGTTTCACTGGTTGCTAAAAGTCCATTGAAGAAACCTCATCTGAACCAAGCCTAGAGGAACAAGATGTTCTATAAATGCAAGAGTCTCCAAAAGATATGGAACCTTTCAAGCAGAAAGTATATGAGAGGCAAGTGTTGTGGTGACTAGACACTCCATGTTTCACAGATGAATGAGGGAAGACTGAGCCCCACTGAGTTTAGCATTGAAAAAGACTCCAAGGTGGAACAAGTATTGAGTCAGTGTTAGGATCAACTTGAAAAACTTGACCAGCCAACCTAGATGAGCCACCTCTTGGTTAAGAAGTAACATGGCCAAGAAAGAGGCAAGTAGAAGCCAATTGTCCATATAATAATGGAATCAAAGACCAAGGTTGTGGACATGATGAGCAAATATTTCCATGACTCAATTGAAGACAAAAGGAGCCAAAGCTATGCCAAATGGGAGAGGTTGAAACTGATACACTCATTCCTGTTGAATAAAGTGAAAGCAACAACAGGAGAATGGGACAATCAGAATATGTAGAAAGGCCTCCAAAGGACAACAAAAAAGACAAGAACAAAACCCCAGAGAGAGAGGCAAATCCTCTTGATGGCTTTCATGTTAAAAAAATCCAATACTGCAACTACAAGATGTTGGATATTAGAAGGAGAAGGAAAATGAACAGGAAACCAAAGAAAGTTAACAAGTGCTTAGTGGGACCTACTATACATGGTAGATTTGTTGCCCTCCTATTGATGGAAAGCTATTCTTGTATAATGATTACCTGATCTTGTAGTCACATAAAACACGTCTTAAGTAGAAAATACTTCAAGGTTAATGGCTTGCACAAAATCTCAAAGGCAGATGCACGAGGAATATCTACTGTGTGGAGATAAGCGAATCATTTCAGAAAAATATTTTCTATATTTTTTTTATGAAAAATCTAGCTTCTGAAAAATTTTCCAGCTCAAATGCAGCATATTATACAGGCCTACCCTTTACACTACAGTTCAAGTTTCAATCCAAATGACAGGTACAGTTTTCTACCACTTTTAATTCTTAATACAGGATAGGTTCTTTACACAATTCTACATTGTTTTTAACCACTACAACCTATTATATATGTCAAAAAATATGGTTTTTGCTTTCTGTTTTTTTATCAGACATAAAATTCATAATTCTAAATATAGTAAAAACATATATACAATTAAATGTCCAAGTTCTGTATTTTTTTATATTAAGTACTAGACACAAGCCAGTGATAATATTCTTTTGAATTTAAGGAATAAACGTTTTATCTTTTCATGTTGAAAATAATTTTATGAAGAGTATTTTACTTTTCTAATAAACAACAGAAGTGATTTTGTAAATTCTTTTCCACATGAGTAAAAGTAATAGTTTGAAAAAGTTTCTGTACAGATTCAAAACCTTATTCCAGGTACATATGGTCTGTTGTTCTTCTGTAAACATTATCAATGTATCTACTTACAAAACTGACTTAGGTGTATAATGTTTGTTGTGATTCTGTAAACACTGTGACTCTACTTACAAACCTGAGTTGAGAACATATCTTCTGTTGTGACCCTGTAAACGTTGTAAATCTACTTACAAACCTGACTTATATGTATAATGTTGGTTGTGATCCTGTAAATCTTACTATAATGGATGTAGTATGTGTATGTCAGTATCTATGTATGTAACCAAAACAAACTCCTACACCATCTACTGAATGGTACCCCAAACAAAAATCTATAAAAAATTTCACACTTAGGGTATTCAAGATTCAGACAATTAGAAAAATAACTGTGGTATGTGCAACAACCATTTCATTATAATAGAACAGAATTTTAAATAAAAGTACTTTTTCACAACAAG